CATCACTGTAATCAGTTAGGCACCTCCATTCAACAAACCTCAGATCAGAACACTTGCAGGTCTGCAAAACTGCAGTGGTAAGTTGAAAGGCCATGAAAACAAAAGCTGGGAGCCCTGAGAGCACCAAGTCACTCTCTGCTAACACACACACACACACACACACACACACACACACGCTATATCTGAAGTAGGTGGAGCTGACTGAATGTCATGGAGCAGAACTGAGCCTACTAACTAATCATTAGAAGCAGTATTTCCTGAGTGTGATGTTATCATCCACTACATGGACAGGGAACAACATCCAGGAAGAATGGAAAAGGGCTGGATCCTATAAGGTGCTCACAGCCTCTTTAAATCTCACTGAAGAGAATGACAGCTGAAGAATTAGGAACTCAGCACCCCACATTACAGCCTGAGTAACAAGCCACAATGCAAATCAGCTATACAACCAGGTTTACAATTCAGGAGCTCCTACATTCTCAATGCGGTGTTTAGTCCATCACAGCTCAAAGGACTCAGACTAGTAGGTTAGTGTGAAAACCAACTCCAAAGAATCAGTCTCAATAATCTGATGAGCCTTGCTTTTTGAAAAAGAGGCTTGCTCAACAGGAAGAGGGCAAGACGCATCAGGAGAGAAGAATCCACCTGACTTACTTTCTTAAGTTTTAATATCACTTTTTCTTCCCCGTTAATTTACTCCTCTCCCCTAGGATAGGAATGCAAGTACAGGCTCAAAAATGCAATGTTACTTTACACAAAATCAGAATTCAAAACAAAAAAAATCGAAGGGTGAAGGGGAGAAAGTCCACGTTGTTTATATAAAGGTATTCTTCTTACTAAGGCAAGAATGCCACAGTCCAGTCCAGTCTGGCACTTGCTCTCAGATTCTCTGCTGCTCTGAGCAATTGACATAATTTTTGCAGGGTAAGAGAAGCCCTTCTGTTTCACTATTTGACAATGAAAAAGTATGTAAAACTTTTTCCTGTGGCTTCTGCAGCCTCTTTCAACTTTGTTCATTTCATATCCAGTGAAACCCAGAGCTTTTTACTCTTTTTTCCCATATTGGAGACTAGAGTTCTATTGACATTTACTAAGGTATGTACTTCCTCATGTGAACACCTTTCTCCCTATTTGTTAAAGCTTCAGGCTGCATCCACTACAGACTTGAGACAGACAATAGCCAAAATTTAGACACAGAATTTTAAGAACAGAGATTTAAGGGAAAACAAAATACTAAAAAATCACAACAGAATCTACAAAAATCTAGGTTAGTTTTAATTCCATTAATTTAGTCCTGGGATACTTGGGAAAGAGACACCGGCACTCAGAAGACATCCAGTACTGTGACTTGGTATCAGCAATTACACAAGACTAGTATGAAGACTACATCAACACTATCTTAAAGTGCTACTGCTGTGTTTTTGTTTTATAAGTATTTTGCTTTTCTTGATTCCTGTGATTAAGGCACTGGATTGGGACTTGGGAAGTCTGGGTTCAAGTCTCAGCTCTGCTGCAGATTTCCTATCTGATTTTGGGCAATTTGCACTAGGTTTCAGCAAAACATTTAGATCAGTATGTAAGTGCTTTGTGAATTAGGTGCTTGAGCCGTGTCTGTTATCCATCTGTAAAATGCTTGATAGCTATTTAACTTGCATATCTTTGCTATGCAGATTTTAAGTTCTTTTCAGCAAGGACTGTCTCTTACTGTTCTTCTAAAACTGCTTAGCACAATGGGATCCTGGTCTCAACTGAGGAGGTCGAGGCTCTACTGCAATGCAAAAAAACAAAAAACAAAAAAACCCTATTTTGCTTTAATTACCAAGATAGTGTTGAACTGAGCCTTTTCCTTTTTTTGGCCTTCTCCTAATGCCTACCTGAATGACACTGCATCATAGTCCCTCTCTTGAGAAGAAAATAAACACTCTCCAAAATTGCATTTGTAACTTCATATAAAGTGAACGGAAACGGAGGTTGGTTCTGAAGGAAAGTTTCTGTTTATACCCATGTATGGCAGTACTATAAGGAACAGAAAGCTGGTTAAGGCTGTGCATATTAATTCCAAGTTCACAGATAAATACTTATCAGGTGAACTTTCTAGACAGATCTATTCCTGAAGGAGGACACACTTCCCGAGGAAGAAAACATACCCTTTTCTCCCCCTAAGGCCAGCTAGATAAGAGCAAAACAGACACAAATATACCCTAACTACCACACTAGTGTAACCTTCCTGAGCACATCAAGACCATCTAGAATTATGACCTGAGGTGTGTTACCCTGCATAACTATTTCCACATCTGCTATACTGGGAATTCAGTGGTTTTCGTTCCATTTGCTGATACCAACTTAGTAAGAGTCCCCCCATAGCAAGCAAAACGTATTGGTGAACTTTTAGAAGATCCTGTTCCCCATCCAAATCTCTACACTTGTATTTTTTGGGACCAGTTCTGCAGTATTCAAAATAAGTTCGGACACAAGCAGCCAAAATTCCTCCCAGCTGTGACTCCACTGAAGACACTGGAGCTAAATGCAGTGCGAGTCTGGCCCACTGTCTGCGCCTCTCCCTTAGACTTCAGCCTAATGTCACCAGAGTTTGCTGACTGAGCGTTCATGAGAACAGAGAGACACTTAAGCTGCCCGAGTTCTCTTTCTTGAATTTCCCCCCGTCTCTTCCAATCCTAACTTGGAGGAGCAAGCTCTTGACAACTGCTATTAAGCTGACAGCTTTTGCTTTTGATAAACATGTTATCACTTGCTCCCTCCATTTCTCAAATGTGGGTTATCAATCACCAATAGTCCACGTGACTGGAGTTGCCATTCTCTGATCCTGGCTTACTCTTCTGCTGACTGGAAAGACTGCTTTGTCTTGACTTCCAGATAAAACACTTAGCAGCTCACAGAGTTGTTTGGTCAAGGCCTAGATTAGTAAGATGTTAAGATGTTTTATTACCACTCTGCAATCTTTTATTTCTACTTTTCAGCAAATAAGCAATCTAACGCTAGGCATCAGTCAATAATAAAAGAAGCAGCCCCTGCATCCCGTGCTGCTTGTTTTTAAAAAAAAAAAAAAAAATCCAGTTTTTCTTAAAATAAGACATTTTCTGGAGATGCTTTTGAGGGAATGGGGATGAGATGGAAGCAAAAGAGATGATATCCAATCCCTTCTTTCTGCAAGTTAGCAGCAACCAGTAAATTTCGTATCAAATGTGTAACCACCACCAGAAGCCCTCTATCTGGGCTGGACTGGTAGCATGTAAAGTAGGTTCCAGATTGTCTTTTGCTGCAGATTACTCAAAAGTACTGCCAAATAAAAGAACAACTTCCTGTGCAAGTCAAGTCAGAGATTTTGAGTAGCTGTGATGACTGGAAGAGGGTGAAATCAAAATCTTGAAAACTTTCCCCCACAACCACCCTGTGATGCTTTATGCCAATGGCAGCAATAGGAAGTACAATCCAACAGTACACCACTTCCAGCTACGTTCTAGTTACAGGACTTTGATTAGGAATGATCAGGAAAAGCGTGGAGAGTTCTACAAAATGGCTCCTGGTTGCACACACCTGTAACACAGAGGTACAACCCAAGGAGTACAGGCCCCACCCTGTACTGTTCTGCCTTGAACCAAGCGCAGTGCTGTATTTGCAGATATGCTCCACAACCTGTAAATCTGATGTGGGTCTCATGCACTTCTAATTGATAGATCAAGTAATACCCAGCAAGTCTGGCATTTCCAAAGCCCAGTGCAGAATTTCACTAGTTAACCCACTGCAACTCCTTGGGGATGTAAGGGGCAGTCCTTTATTTTACAAATGGGAAATTAAGGCAGCAATTCAGTGACTTGCACTATGTAATCTTGACCTTCAACAACAGAACCATAATTATAACACAACACATTCCCACTTCCTAACCTTGCATTCAGTACATCAACCCAGGCTTACACTTGGTTTTTGGTGCATAATTTGTCAAGCTTTTTAATATGGGGCACTTGATCTCTCTCCATGTGTAGTCTGCTCAGTGGAATCCTCAACGTTACAGAGCCCAACTCAGTATTCTGTGCAGGGTCCTTTTTTGGAGGTCTGCTCTGGTTTAGATCCCTCCCTGACCTGCTGGAATCATTTCTGCTCTGGAGACAGATAAGAAAATAGGACTGCTTTGTACAAGCCCAATTAAAGGAAAATAAGGAGGGCTGTGCTGGCATCTTAGGTCCAGGTCACTAGGTGTGCAATAAGGAGAGGGGGGACCCTACTTTTTGGCTCTCAGTTGCACACCTCCCAGATAGGTGGCTGAGCTGCTTAAAAACCAGACAAAACCAGGGGATGTAAAGTAACATACTAACTTCTTTAATACAGTCCAATCCGATTAATCCAAAAATCACTCTGTGAACCCTGGGTTTATTCACACTAAACAAGTCAATGGTACATAGTTCATCCGCTTGCTGACCACATTCATTTTCTGGGTCCCACGCATAAAACAAGCACCAGTCAACCAGACTGCAAGGTTATTTCCTTTCTTTCTTTTTCTCTTTTCTTTTTTGCATAAAACTATTTCTTCCATAGACTTAAAACAATCAACTAGCCAAGTTATTAATTATGATACATCTAAAAAATGAATACTAACCCTAATGTGACTGCTGCTTTAAGAGTGCTCTGTATATCGCCCTGGACTGGCTTTTCAGTAGCAATTCACTACAACAGGTCCTAAAAATAATAATAATAATAATAATGGAGAATTAAAAACCCGACAGCAAGTTTAATGGTTAAAAGTAACAAAAATAACCTGTTTTGGGTGATGGTTCTTTTTCTTCAGCAGTTCAGTCCTGCTGCAGCACTCGCAGCCTCACAAATGGCAGAAGGGGTCCAAATTCTTTTGCCTTCTTAAAAAAAATCTTAATGTTTTTAAAAGGACAACTGCACTGCAGCTTGCTTGGTACCCCGGGCTTGCGTTTGTGTTATACGCAATCAGTAATGGGTACGTGTGTTAAACTTACTGCTTTTTTGGGGGTAGGTTGGGAAGGGCAGGAGGGAAAAATAGGGAGGGGACAAAGGCATAAAAAGCCCTAGTTTTCCAGATGTACAGGTCACTAGGGCTGCCTGCACCTCTCAGACCAGTATGCACAGCTTTTATTCTAGAAGACTAATCTTGGAGCTCTGGCAAAAGCATTTTGAGCTCTAGGCGGTATTTTAGATCATGTCTCCCATTTAGGGTCATGTAGATTTCCTGCAAGTCATCGGCTGGAAAGCCTGTCCCCTCCCTAAAGAGGGTTAAAGGTGGGACCAGGTGTAATACAGGAAAGGGAGCTAAAAATGAATAAACATTTCTCAGCTACAGAACCAAATTTCATTACTCCTCTCATTCACAGCATTTTGTAGTTAATGACCAGACTGCTGCTTTGCTTAGTTAAGGTTAAGCTCATTTCATTTTCCCTCAGGCCCCATTGGTTGCTGGTCGACCTCTGGATCCACTAGGGACGATGCAAATGCTGACTGGACAATCTGAAACCCAAATGACTCCAGGAGAGACATGTTCTGTTGGGGTGAAAAGGGGGACCCTAAAGCAGGGCCCAGGTCCCCCAATGGGCCCCCAATAGCCCGGACGTGAACTTTCTGTATATGTTTGTTCAGATAAGACTTGGATCTGAAAAAGCTGCCACATTCAGGGCAAGGGTATTTCTTCTCTCCCTCTGTCTCCATTTTGTTTTTGGTGACTGTCATGTCGCAGGAGAAGGACCCATTCGTGCTCTGTTTCTCTGGAGTCTTGAGGTCACTGGTGTCAGAGAGGTCTCCATAGGAATCAGAACTCTCAATCGGGTCCGAATGTGAGCATTTCTGGCCTTCTATGGAAGAAGAGACAAGAAAAGTTGTCAGAATCTCAACTCCAAGGATGTGTTTTTTTCTCCTAGAATGCTTTTAAGTAGGCAGGATTGGTCATCACCTGATTCACAATTAAATCAAGGTGACTGAATGCTACAGATTTAAGAGCTAAAACCCTCTATAAATACCATGATGAGGCACTGTGCCCTGCACCTCTCCTCTTTAAGAAGCCTGGACATGCTATCCCTTAGCATCCCCTAGTTGGTCTTGTAGCTTTGTAGCAATACTGACCATATCCGCCATACCCTCTTACACTTATTCAATGCTGCCTTTGGAATCCCAAAGGATCCACCCTCATGTTTATAGTTTTGTCGTAACATAAAACATAGACACTATTATTACTGGAATAACTTCTCAGTGCTGAAGTGCAACAGGCACTTATGGATGGACTTCAGAAACTGCTTAACACTGTATAACAGGCAAGAGATGAAGAAACCTAGAAACAGCTCATATGCTAGTCTCTCTGTACAGCAGCAGGGGCAGCCATGCTCCTGGAAATGCAGTTTTATATGAACTCAGAAGGCTCCGTCTTAGAAGTACAGTGTTGTTGGAGTATACTTCACACCTGAAAGGGCTTCATCCTCAAACACATTAGCAAGACAGTAGGAGGAACATGCTTCTTGAGACATTCTCTGTTACTTGGACGCACACCCTGGCAGGGTCACTGGTATACTGGGGGGATTCCCATTCTATTCTGCCAATGCACAAAGGAAGCTTTTCCACACTCTCCTCTGTCAGAGGATGCATATGGACATAACAAACCCAGATGTACATATTCCCCGAAACAAACCACTGAGCAGAAAGTTTGCTCTACACGTAATGCTGAAAAACCAAAGAGTCATTTGGCATGTTTCAAATGACAGATTTGCTCTTGAGTCAGCATTACGCAACCAGACAGAACATACATGAAACCAAGATCCCACTGAGCTTGGGAGCAAGTCTCTTGCCAAATCAGTACACAACATAGGATCAAGGGGCTTCCCCAGCAGCTCTCCAAGAGGACTTCCTTCAGAAAAAAGCTAGACAACTGTAACAGCTCATCAGCACAAACCAGCATAGGGTACGTTCAACCTATTCCTATTTTGTCTTCAGAGCAAGAATAAAAACCCAAATCTTCAGGATCCCCAAGGTCTCCAAACTAATGTTTTTGATGTTCCACCTTTGACCAGGCATACGGATAGCTCAGAATTGTAAGGCAAAAAAGAAGTTACTGTACACATGCTAAAATATGTAAACATCCTCTGTAAATTCATGCCAAGTCATTCTTAACCAGTCTTGTAAAAAAAGACTTTAGGCCAAAGCAGAAGTAAAAATCAGTGGCATCTAAAAAGAAGCAGCTAATATCTTTTATCCTCTAACTCCTTCCCAACAACAGCACAAAGAGAGGCAAGAAAGATTTTTACTAAAGGTATCAGTGCAGTCCCTCCATCGACTGGAGTCAAGATTACACAGGCAGTCATTACTCTCATGTACAGAGTTGCTTGAGGCCCCCCCTTGGAAATCACATGCTGGGTATAACACAAGATGTAATCAGTCTTGGTGGTACAAGGATCTGATGAGAGCTATAAATGACACCTTTCCAACTACTCCTCCCTCAGCTAGGGTTAAAGCACAATCTGCTCATAGGCCGAGGAGCTGTATGACCAAATCAGTCTTTGCCATTCCTACAGTAAAGGAAGCTGCCAGAAGTTACAGTACTTCCCCCTCAACAAGCCATCCCATGGCATCCTTGGACAAAGATACAAGGCTCTACATACCTTCTCTACATCTAACTTTTTTCCTGTCCTTCCCTCCTCCCTTTTCCCATGCCCAACCCAGCATCCCGCAATACAAAGTCCTGCGCAGAGAAGCAAAGTGCAGAGCAAGGAGTCGCTTGCCTTTGATGCCATAGGTCCTGACGCAGTGGAACGCTGCTCCCCCATTCGGGATGGACTCCTGGTGCCTGGAGACCTGGGGAAGGGGAACACCGTGGTGGGTTTTAACATGGACCTTTAAGTAGGAGGCAGAGGAGAAACCTAAACAAGATAAAAGGAGATGAGATCCTGCCACCAGCAAAGACACACATCTGCCTTCCCTGTTTGTCTTATTCTTCTTTTTTGTCCTAGTCTCCATTAAACTATTTTGGTTTCTGGCTGTCTACCACATGCTGAAGGAGAATTTTTATGTAAATCTAACCAGGCGTCAAGTGTAAAATAAAGCTTTTCACTGCCCTTGCTCTTCAACCAGGTGTTAGAGAATTACTGTTCCTGAGAAGGCACAGTGCAGAAAAGCCACGCCCAGTCGTATTTAAACTCACGGGAAGAGATGAGACTCAAGTGACACACTTACATGCTTTTAAACAAGAACATGCCTTTATAAACCTAACGCGCATTCTGGGCAGCCACGTGAGGTTCCCTCATTCTGCTGAGACCATCTGATGGGACATCACTGACCACTCCCTCACCCATAGTGTACTTCCTTTTCCCCATAAAGCCCAACACTTGTGATGCCCTCTTGGAGGCAGGAAGACGTTTTTCTTTCCCTGATTTTCGTTTTCCCTACTTGGGGAAAGACAGAAGTTTTGCTACTCACCCTGCCCTAAGTTTAACACATCATAGGCTAGGGTGTTTTTTGTCTGCCTCATTGTGCAGACAGTACAGCTCCATGAGGACTCTGTATTACCTAATTATGTTACAGTGCCTGCAGACAGAACAAAGGGATATTAATGCCTTTTTACATTTGTGGGCTCTCAGAGAACACAGTGGCTCTCAATTTACATCCACCACTCTGAGAAATTAAAACCAGTTAATTCAAATGTGCCAGCAATTCCCCTTTCATCCAGCCTTCAGAAGATGTTGCAATTAACATGAGGGGTATTAGGACCATGACTGATGGATAATACTGGAGGATATAAACTTATCAGTAAAAGAAGTTGAATTCAACCACTCAGCCAACAACATAGTGGCTTTCATATTGAACATACTTCCCTCTTGGAGTCAAGATGGGGCCACATACTCTCTTAGTCCAGTTAGAGGAGCTGGAATTGACTTCTTAAGAAATACACAGGCAAAAAGCGAGACTTACATTTTGGCCACTAATTAGGCCTGGTGCAAAATGGAAAGGCGTGCCTGTGTTGTAGGGGATTCCCCCATACATTTATATTGATACAAGCCTTTGTGGGGCTTATATACTGTATACTAACAGTACCTTTGATCAGTAGATCTAATCCCCTTCCCAAGAAGAAAAGGCTATACTGGTATAAGGGTACAGGTTGTAGCCATTTTGGTCTAAGGACATGGGCAGACAAGGTTCTTTGAGTAAATCTGAGATTTTTTATTAGACCAACTTAAATAGTTGGAAAAATTCTTCTTAGCAAGCTTTTGGGTATAAACACCCTTCATCAGGCTGAGGAAACATCTGCAGTTGGTCTGTGCTCTTCCTGGATGGAATAATAAAGAAGCCAGAAGCCTCTTGTCTGTCTGTACTGGTATAAAGTACTTTTATACTGATATAACTGCATCCATGCCAGAATTGTACTGCTTCAACTCTACAGGCACACCTTTCTACTACAGACAAGGGCTTAAAAGGTGGCTATTCAGGTGCTGGCTTTAAACTAAACTTTAACAGCAACCCCCGCTTTCCCTCCCCTATAGAACAGTTCCTGCTCTCTGCAGGGACCTTCATTAGAATCCAGATTCAGAATGGACTAATGCGCTGCAAAGCCTTTTATGAGCTCATGGGAGTTGGATACAAATACAAGTTCAGAATGGTTGTAGCAACCTGCTAAAGAGGAAATAGCAGGAGGGCAGGCAGCTTTTATTCCTGGTGCGGTACAAGGGCCATCTCCTGAGAACAGCTAAGCTGAAGAGAATCAGAACATGGGGAAAAGCAGCTCAGATCAAGCAAGAAAACCACAACATTTGAGAAAAATACAGGTCAAGCAAACAACAAAAAAAGCATATGCCAAGCCCTCTCAGAAAAATGCTTCAGGGGAAGATATTTTCCTCTGAACTAAAAAAAGAGACTTATGCGATGCAGAGTATGTTACAAACGACAAGGAAAATAAGCATCCTCACTCTGCTAAGTCACAGCAAGTTAAGAGAAAGTTAAAGTCTGGCTGAAAGAGAGAAAGTCGACACTTCACGAGGACCCTTCCAACTAGGTAGCGAGCTTTACAGGGGTAGAAACCATCCCCTAGTTCAGAGTAGGTGTAATAACTATCTGGCTTTTAGGATAAATCCTGTTACGTAGGGGGCATCCAAACCTCAGAACCAACCATGAAATAACCCTAAAAGATGAACTGTGTTCAACTGGTCAGTGATTTTTGTGTTAAAATTTAATTTTTTTGTTTCAAAACAGTTTACAAAAAGTTGGTTAAGGACAGCTGTAAAAGTGCTAGGTTTTCGCAAGCTCCATGATTTCCCCAGTAGCAGACACTGCATTATGTAGTGAAAGTCCCTGAGAAGTGCCTCCGTTCCCTCTTGTTAGGTAAGGTATGAACTACCAACTTTTATCCAAGTAGATAGACAAACACCTGTTTCCCAGAAAGCCAGGATAAAGCAAGTTTCCTGTTCTGTCCTTTTAAATAGTTATATCCTGAAAAACTGATCATGGTCCAAAAATTATATCAGGCCACAAATACAGACAAGTATACATCAGTTCTAGGACGAATGACTGACGGGTTTTTGCAGGGGAACAACATGTCACTTTTTAAAACTTTTCTTGGAAAAACATTTAGGCAAGGGTTCTCCTCTCCCTTCACACACACTCTCTCCTACCACTCCTCTACTGACCACGCCACATCAGGGCTCCAAGTAGTAAACTATTTCTCCCTTCCATAGTAAGTCTCTCAAACCATACACAGGAACAGAAAGGAAGTGGACTAGTGTCTACCACACTGGCCTGGCTGTAGGTCTATCAGGGAAATTCCGTATGAAGAAAACTATAGGCTACTCCCCCTTTACAGCTCTAAAGCACATCAAGCAGCTAGTGAAGGACTCCTCCACTTGATCCTACAACTTTGAGCCCAACACACAGAACAGCAACACTTCACGCACCTCTCAAAGCAAGTAAAATTGATTTTCTGTCTGACCACTCTACCTTGCAGAAAACCCAAGTCCAAAGGGAGCAGAAAATGCAGGTTTTACCCTTTCACTTGATTTCTACAGCTGTGTCCTATTTCCATGCAACAACAGAAAATGGATGTCTTATACTGCTCTAATGGCTACATATTATTACAAAATACTAAGGAGCCAAAGGGAGTCCATGACCATCTCCTTTAGGTGCCTTTCAAAATCCCGACCCAAGCTAGTAAACAGAAATTCCAAGGATTTTGAAGAACAAGAGAAAACTATGTAACAATTAGGAAGCAGGCTCCTGGACCTGAATTAACTGCAAGATTAATTACCTTTTATTTTTAGTAACTGGCCAGTTAAACAAATCAGTATTTACAAGTGATACCAAACTTTCCAACATCCCACTGTAAAACTCCTTGTTTCCCATCACAGTTCAGCTTTGCATCACCAAATGGGGGCTTGCTGACAAGCATCAGCAAAATGGCCGGCCCCTTTGAAAAAGAAGCCCCAGTCACTGAACGAGGACACTCAAACAGATGACTTTTAGAAGCAGCTCAGGAAACTATATGTACTTAGATTTCTGAACTGTTGTAATTAAATAACGTATTCAGATGAGTCAAGACATCTCTTCCCAGGAAACTCCTTGCACAGCTTTCCAGACTGAACAAGATTTATGACAATTATCTATATTTGTTTCAAGTATGAACTGTCCCATGTAGACAAGCAGCCTTGAACCAAATGCCAGCTCAGACGTGGTAACTTTTGAAGGAGACCTTGTGTTCTACCTTTAAAAGATAATAAATAATTAAACTTAGGAAGGGTGTCAGTTATTTGGATGTCAAACCTGTGGCTATTCCTTTCACTTCAGGAATAGCTCACCACCTCCATGTCTGAAGCACAGTGCATAGCACCAGACTGCACAGAAAACCTCCTGGCATCTGCCAGGATAAAGCAACAGATTCTTGAACATTTTATTTCCCATTTTAACTAGATGTGCACTGATATATCTATCTGTTGCCTATTGGATTGGCACTGATAAAGAGGAAATTTACATTATCGGCTATCAGCTTTTTTTTTTTTTTGGCTGTTGTAGCTGATAACGTTCACCAATAATTATGCCTTCTGGCCGGGGCCCCCAGATGCCTGGGTTCCCTCTTGCACACAGGGCTGCAGCCCCAAGACACCTGGGTTCCCTCCCATGAGCTGGGCTGACCCTGGATACATCCCCATCCCCTTACTGGTGGGCCAGGCTAGGCTGGAGCAGAGCAGCTGCCATGGTGTCTCAGGCACTGGTGCTGCATGATGCGGACTGCGGAAGGTGCTATAAAAGGCGCCAAATGCTGCAGATGCGACTGGGGCAAAAAAGAAGCAGGCAGAGCTGAGCTGTCTGGCCCAGCCTGACAACTCATAGTGCCTAGAGATCTGTGCTCCAGATGCAGAGCCTGGGGCAGCCACACCCCGCCTGCTGGGGTGCAGCAGGGTCCTCCATCCAGCCCCAGCCCAGCTGGGTCTTGCCCTTCCCAGGGCTGGGTCCATTCAAGGCATCGGCAGCACCAGGAGGGGAAGGGGCCCTTGGAGTGTATGTAGCTGACTATGAAATCCTTGCAACTCTCACCGTGCATCAGTGGGGGCTGATGGAAAAAGTTCAGTGGTTCCCATACGGCTGGGGTGATTTCAATGGCATTTGACAAGATGTTTGCAGCATGGAAAATCCCAAGGACAAAAATGAATGCCATTATTAGAGATAAGACAAGAAACATAGCAAAAGCAATGCAAGACTCTGGCTTGCCAAGTTTACCTTGTGTAGCACATACGCTTCGGCTTGTTGTGAATGAAGGAGTGCTATCACAGCGCAGTGTGCCTGACATACTGGCTATCAGATGAAAAAGTGTTGGGCACTTCAAACACTCTCCACTGGCCTATTCTCATCTTCAAGAGGTGCAGACTGAGCCCCGAATGCATTCCAAGTGGTTACAGCAGGATGCAAAGACAAGGTGGAACAGCATTTACCACATGCTACAAAGCCTTTTGGAGCAGAAACGCGTGCTTGGAGTATATGTAGCTGACTATGAAATCCTTCCAACTCTCACCGCGCATCAGTGGGGGCTGATGGAAAAAGTGGCGATAGTTCTAGCACCTTTTGAAGAACTAACATGTGAACCGAGTTCATCCTCAGCCTGTGCTTCTGATGTTATCCCATCCATTGTGGCTTTAAAAAGGCTTTTGTGCAAAATTACAGATTCAGACCACAGAATTAAAACTATGAAAGTTACTTTGCTAGAAGCCATGGAAACACACTTGGCTGAAATTGAATCCGAACATCTCTACAGCATTGCAATGCTGCTGGATCCAAGATACAAGGACAGATACTTTACCGATAATAGCAAAAAGCTGCTGGCTACACAAATGTTGACGACACACCTGGAAAAAAAATGCAAGCCAGTGGGAATAACACAGAACAGACAGAACCTGGCACAAAGAAATCAAAGGAAGCAGATGACAGCACTACAAAACCGAGCTCCTTGTGCTCAATGTGTGATGAGATATTGGAGGAAAGTACATGTGGGGTAGAAATTGATGGGGTAAACAGCAGCGTAAGACTTCAGAAAAAGCTATCCGTGAGCCCACGCTTCCAAGTAGTGCAAAAAAACTGAAATACTGGGAGAGCAACAAAGTCCAATTTCCCATTTTGGCTGAAGCTGCACGGAAGTTTTTCTCTGCCCCCTGCAGCAGTGAGGAGAGCAAATGGCTGTTCAGTGCAGCCGCACATTGTAGATAAGAGGAACCAACTGCTGTGTGAAGAAATTTTGCTTTTTGTCAAGAAAAACCTTCCACTCACCCACTTGCTATGTCAGAGTTATGATTAAGCAATGAAGAAAGTATGAATGTCTTTTTTTTAACTCTACCGATACTGTAATAATAATAATAAATTACTTACAATGACTTCTACTACTACAACCTGTATGTCACCATTTTTTGTTTGTAATTTTTACGACTTGACCTGCATTTCTTGTGGGTATATTTTGAAACCAAAATTGTTATGATTATGCCATTTTTTCCAACTTTGTTTGGGTGATTTTTGTAAAACAAACTGAATGCTGAGTTTTAAAATGACTTTACTGTCAAATGAATCATTATGTAAGTGTATACTGTAAACTACTGTTTTAAAAGTTAAAGTTTTAATGTTAGTATGACTTTGCTTTTATTTTGCTACTAAATATTTATAGAAGCAGGAATACAAAGTGTGTGTCTGTGTGTGTGTCTACGTGTGCAGAGCTGTCCCTAGGGGGCTGAGGGGCCCATGGCACCCCTGCAAAGGCAGGGCATGGGCTGGGGCAACATTTCCCAACCTTTCCTGTCCCATGGCACACTTACACAGGTAAATGAACATCGTGGCACACTGGATGCGGGGGAAGGGGTGGCAGCCAGAACACGCTTAAAGAAATTCTCAGCACACGGGACAGGGGACCGGGAAGAACCTCACATGTGGGAGGGGCTGTGGCCTCTCCACCCGGCTTGCAAGGCCCCCCCAAAGTGCAGGGCCTGGGGTGGTCACCCCGATTCGCCCCCCTCCCCTCCAAGGAATGACTCTGAGTATGAAATGTAAAACAAACAAACAAAGGTTTTTATGTCAGTATTTTCAAACGTGGTACATTATTTATTACTAAATACCAGTTATCAGATTGGTATTAACCAATATGGCTGGTTAATAAACGGCTATCGGTATCGGCCAAGAAAAGCTTTATTGGCACACATTTAATTTTATCAGCAATACATATTCAGATACCAAGAGATGCTTCAACCACCCCTGAACTTTCTTCCTATCGTCTCCCAAAGCAAACTGAGTTAAAATATTTAATCTTATTCACATGCATATTATAAAAGCTTTGTTTCTTGCTCTATGACCATCAGGTCCAGCATTATTTAAATTCCCCAAAATGCAATGCAGTGAAGAAACTGTAATAAAACTGTTCTCACAACGACCACAAAGTTCTGAGGACACCCTTCCCCAAAACAAACGGGGGTTAATTTTCCCAGCACATTTGATTTCTCAGTGTTCTACATTTCTAGAGCTTCTAGTTAAACCAGTCCATATTGCCCGCTCTCGAACGTTTTGAAATACAGCTTTCAAACGTCTTGTCCTGCTCATCTTTAACCAAAATTCTTAGCACATAATGCCAAATTTCCCAGCAAGTTCAGCCTGCATATGGATATTAATAAGCTCAGCTCTCAATTTTAGCAGCAAATCTTCCTTATACTAGTGCCGATGGAAAGTTAAACTCAAAGCAATGGTCTATAGTTCCTCACTGACCAAATGTACAAAAACTGCAATCTGAAGAAAGTAGCAGCATAACACTATTAAAATCCATCTGCCATCTTGGCTGCCTATCAGATCCCTCTAACTTTATACATACATGTAGCCACTCACCCCTTTATGGAAATTTAGATGTACATTAACTACTTCAACCCACCGTGCCTTGTACACAGCCCTTTTAATTATTTCATTTTTTTGATGGCTAGCCCTTCTTTTCTTAGCTGAATTTTTGAGGAGCAGCAGTGACATCCAGGGGCAGCTATGGTGAATTGCAGGCCTGCAAATCTTGAGAATATTCCTTCCTTTTAACCTGACTGAATTTATTAATGAGCAATCAATCCATCATGGTTACCTGAAGATACACAATATATAGCTCAGACTATACATTTAGCTCAGACTTCTGACTCATCATGGTACAAAGTGTAAGATTAAGCTAAAGTAAAACTTTCTCAGAATTCAGGCCCTTGAATGGGACGAACACCTACTTTACATTTAACCCCACGGTTGTTCAAAACCCTGAGAATTTCCTATCTATCTGGTAGAAACTGATGAAGTATCTGAGGAAGAAGTAGGATGTTACCGACAATACTCATGCCTCTCTGAACCAGTTTGTCCAAGAAGCCGCCCTGTCCTACCTGTGTGATGTTTCCAAACAAAGTCTCACTCACGTCAAAGGATTTACAGATAACTCCACGGCTGACAACGGTTCCATCCCTATCAAACACCTCCCTCCCTCTCATTTTCACCTCTGATCACCCAACAGTCCTGTCCTGCTCAGTATCCTCAGACTAACACCTATGTAACTATATACATAGTAACTGCTGTATTCCCCTACTAGATGCCAGCTCTTCTCAATCAGAAGAGGGAATGCCTGCTGCATTAAACTAGATGTCATAAAAAAAAACTACAATTCCGAAGCATCCCCTCTTCTCCAACACCTTAAGTGATCCCACACATGAAAACCACCCATTCAACACACTTTACTTCACCAAATACCAAGTTTAATCCAGTCCTCATTGATGCCCCTCATCTTTAATAATTCTTGCCAGTTATTAATAGGCATGGTTTACAGATCAGTTATGCTTTAGTCAGGGTTCCAGGCAGACAATTCATCACTGTACGTTTAGACACGCAAAATAAAAGGTCTCTAGAGCCCACAAGATTCCATGTTTGTGCTACGTTACTGGTTCGCATTGTTCCCTGTGCATCATGAGTCCCTGTTCATCAGGATGTAGGGGCTTTCCAACCTCTCTTCTGGGAATCCTTTTGTTCTCTTTTCTCCCCTCAAATTGCTCTCCTAAATGCTAATGTAGCTATTAGCTCCTACAGATGGGCTAATAGGGGGAATCATTTGAGGAAGCATCTTTTCATCCTCCTGGAAATCAGATGCCATACTTATGCCACAAGGAGAAAGCAGACATGCCCCACTGCTCTATGCACTTGGTCTATGCTAGGTCTGCCTTACAAACTACTGTACTCTTCTGCAGTAGCATTTCCAACATCTAAAGAGTCTCACGGTATCAGTGAGTCTGGTCATAGATCCGTTTGCTCTTTAGCTCTCTTCTTTCTGAAGCTTTTTCTTTGTCCACAACCTGTCTTCACATCACGCAAGGCATAGATCTATGGCTTCCTCCTCAATTTGTGGGAATTGCAAATGTAACGAGGAAGCTTACTGTATAAAAATTGAAAAAAGTCCATGTCTAGCTTTTTTTCCCTCACAAAGCTTGCTTTGAAAACAAGCCACCACAAAGTGATCATTTGGGGTGAGTGGGAAGAGCAAATGGGATCTACTACTATAAGAATTCAGACTTTCTACTTACAAGGAGTCAGTTAAGTTTTGTGTGCATTTCCAACAAATCTTTTTTTCACGCCTTCCCCTGGGCACTAATCCTGCCCTGTGCAAGTAAGCAGGTACATGGTGAACACTGTCCTGACAAGGGGGATTTGCCTGTATGAGTAGAGTTTGGCAAGAAATTGCTTGGAGGCCTATCCTAAAATACTCAGCTCTGCGCTGAAAACAGAACTCCATTACAGGAAGAATATTTAAGCAATAACCCATATGCAGAGGCCAGCACAATACCTCCATTAGTTTCAATCTTATCGTTCAAGGAGAAAAGACCACACGGATATGGTGTGAACTCCTCCTGTGAAGCAGCATTATGTACCTTAGTGCTGTCCTCCACTTTGCCTCATCCCTCTGAAATAAAGAGAGCTCACTGATTACCTCGGTTGCAGATAGTGCAGAAGTTGCTTGGTCCTTCGCTGTGTTTCTTCAAATGGTCTGCCATGTATGCTGCCCGCAAGTACTTCCCACACACCTGGCATGGAACTTTGTCTTCATGACATGCTAGGTGTGAGCGCAGTCTGTCACGGGTGGCAAAAGAAGCATTACAGGTCTGCAGATAGAAAGAAAACAGAGTGCAAGTCACCAATTGTGACAAAAATATTGATATTGCTTCATCTACTCTACAGCAAAGTAAGCATCTCAGAGCCTGTATATGCACACAAATCACACAGTACACAAGCTAATCCTCCCACAGAAAACAAAAATCCAGGTCACCCACATGCTGCACAGAATGCCATAGTACTGCTCAAAAAGAGGCACCAGGATTAGACCTCAATAGGAAGAAAGAGGCTTTGATATAACAGAGCTGGAAACATTCAAACCAAAACACAGATCTGTAATGCCTCAGAGCTCCTAATCAAGATTTGCATTACTAAAATAATGAGTCAAATTTGGTAGTGGAAACAAACTTGCCATTGTCCTACTTGAAAAGGTCTATTCCCATTACAAGATATTCTACCACAGCCCACCAAATTCAGTCATTTTGTGGTGAAAATACTATCACTTCAACAAGGCCCATGCCAAATGGTTTCTCCCCCATCTGTATTTTACTTTGTGATCTGATTGGTCTGTCTCCAGAATTCATTGTTTCCCCTTTGGCCCCTTGTGAGATGTAAGAAATGCATCAGAAAACAGAATATATGGCTGGACTGACAGGACCACAGAGGGCATTATAGGAAAGCCAAGCTGCTATCTACACAGTGCATTGTTTTATACTAGCGGTGTCAAACGTGCCTTGCCCCCACAAGGCCACACCATGGGTTTCCTTGCAAACTGGATCCAGACATGGCAGTTGTGTGGCAAGCAATAGTGGCAGCAATTGTGGGGGTTAACACAGTCTTTGCTTACTACCAACACACATCCCCAACTGGGCTCTTTGCTATGGACTTTGACCCTGCTCCCAGGTTCACAGCCCCTCTACTAGCACCATGGGCCACACAACAGGGCTCTGCAGGCTGCAAGTTTGACACCCCCAGTACACACTTACAATTTAGCTTGGGTGATGATATAATTCAGTTACTGCCATGAAATAAAACTTGGATTTGGAATAAAACTTCACATTGATTAGAAGTATACATCAGCCTTGCAAAACTGTACTTGCCTACTTACCCCAAGAAAATAATCTAATCTAATAGATGAGGGAGGTTTTTTCCACTTTATAATCATAGAAAAGGGTGGGCATGTAGATTATGTGCCTAAACTAGTAGGCATCCAACAACTTTGCAAAGCTGATTGTGTTATTAGCATGTAAATGAAACAAAATCATCAACAGGAAATTATTAAAATTGCAACTTGAATACACTGATTACAAGCAACAGAGGAAAAAAGTCACAAATGTTAAGACAACCAGTCCAAAGATAAAATTCAAAAGTTGCATACTGTTTGTTTTATACCATGGCATATTAGGCAATATAATACCATATATAATCTAGACCACAACATCCTAGATTATGTTTGCATAGTTTATGATTGGAAGTTTGGGGTTGGGGGTTTTTTTTGTTTGTTTTTTTACCTTTTTCAAGGAATAGTGCATTACTCTTTGGTAAAGTAGATGTGCTAGGATGATAAAACCTACCATACTGCAATTACAACACAGTTGCTTAAAATAAATGAGACTTGTAATGCAGCAGAGGTCACATATAGATTTTTATGAGTTAGTTAATTAATCCAAAGACTATTTAAGCCAATTGAACATTATTTTCTAATTCCAACAGGCTTTGGATCAGGCCTTAAGGGCTCAATTCTGGCAGGTGCTAACCATCATCACCTCCCACTGACTTGGTTGCAAAGGAGGTTGAGAGGACCCTACACCAAACAGAATCAGGCCTTCAGGTAGTTTAAAAACAGATACAACATGGAATGCTATGAAACATGGAATTTAAGAGACATAAATCATGGTAAGAGATGTAAATCACAAGTGATGAAATCATAAAAAGCAATTTATTATGAAAAACATTTTTCCTTATGTGAACTCTCAGGACACAGCGCTGAGCAAAACAGATGCAGCCTTTTTTTTCAATCAATACTATTAAAACAAATGAGCATTGACATCAGGATTCCGACCTTGATAACAAGTCATCCTGCTGGATGTAAAGTAAAGGTGCGTTACTGGGTGGAACATGATAACCAAAGTCTCTAGTACTGATAATTCAGTATTAAGCCATAGTACTCTTGTGTATAAATGCTCTGGGAATATCTGGACATCAGTTCTATGAAGCAGAGATAAACTACACAAATCCTTAGATGTAAGAAGTAAACCTGTTGTCTATCCTACACTGAACAGATTGAGCAAGAAGCTTAGGGAAATTCAACATGATCATATTCCTATGTTTGGTTTATCATTCTTGCTGGTGAGTTTTGCGTAGTCCATTCCTGGATAAACTATGTATTGAACAGACCTGCAAAAAAAGAGTCTTAAAAAATATGGGAGGAAGGGAGGAGGTGGGGAGAGGAAAGTTTGAGGTCCAGTTGATAAAGCAAGAACCAGTTTAGCTGAACCATACATGGGAGACAGAAATAGGCTGGAGAAAACCTCTTCAGGTTAAAATCTAATTAGTTAATGCTTGTAAAGGTTTTAAAGATGTAAAATGCTAAATAAATGCTAAATATTTATTATTAATTGTTATTAATAAATCAAGGAAAAACTCCAGTGCTTGGCTATGAAAACACTGCACAGGTAGATAGAGAGGCCAAAAGTAGTATATAGAGAGAGATACAAATAAAGAGTTCAAAATAACATTGTTTCAGAAATACCTCTTGAAGGTTCAACTTTTCTATGGCTGTGGATGTCTCTGAGCTTATTCCATGGTGGCTGCCATTTTCCTGCTAATAGGCAGGAAGTAAGAGAAATTAGGACAGGAAGAAACTCATTTTGCATCGAAATCAATGGGAAGAGCCCTGGATTTGGAATGCCAATTTTAGATTAAAGTCAAGAAATTGTATTTGTATTTTTCAAGTAAGCATAAATTGGTTTTAAATGTAACTGTTATTTAGTGTTCTTTTTTTTACTGCAAGATGTCACCTGGGACTGTCAGATGAGGTATGCCTTGTCCCCAAGACCTAATGAACCACTTTGATGTCCCGAACCCTTCAAAGTAACCTTCCTCCCACTCTACAGCCTGATCTTGGCCACTCCTTACAAAGCACTAAGACAGCAGCCAAAACTCTCCCAACCCCATTTTAAGTGACTGAGGAAGAAACCTGATCTGTCTCATGATGGCCAGCAACTGACTGGCCCCTTTTCCCATGTCAAGCACTCAACTGTCAGATACAAAATTAAATCTGAGATGTCACCAGTACAGTAGTGCTGGGGTAAAAGTAGCCAAAGTTTTATTTGTTGCCTGGTCTGGACACAAAAGCAACTTCTTGGATATGATTTCTGAGATGCACTGGCTCTGTAGAGGCTTTCCTTCCCCATTTGGAGTCTGTTTTAAGAGGAAGGCAAAAGCTGGAATCAGATTCTTGTCTAGCAACAGGCAGCAGATGCTGGACCCTAAGACAATCTTTCATAAAAAGTCTGCATAACCAGTCAAACTTGCTTTGTGAGACAAGGGTAGGGTTACTCCAAACAAACTGCTGTGAAAGACATTCAGAATGACTACTACCTCCTCACAGAGCTTTGATTTGGCTCCCAAGAAATTATATCTCCAGCTTCTGTCTTGTGTTGATGGCCAGAATGCACTCCAAGGTTGACAGTCCAAGATCCCTACTGGTTTGTGTAGGTACATGTAGGGACTTGGGTAAGTGGCAGTTTCTACTATAATTTCTGCACAGCATGGTTTTGAAGAGTGCCTTTTAGGATACTGGACATTAGAAAACATTTCTCCCTTTAACAAAACAATTCTTCTATTCTGCAATTAACATGGTTTGAGAATACATGTTATATTCATACCACAGAGATCTGCAATGATGTTCTAATTGCCCCTAAGGAGAGGGAAATTTCCCAGTGAAATCAATGGAAGAATGGGGATAAGTGGGGAAATAACATACCAACATTAAGTTATTTTCCTCCTCGGTAGCCACACTTAGTAACTAAGAAAGAGAATTGTACAGGATGGAAAATTATTGGTCAGCAAATAATAAGAGTGAAAGCCATGTTAATATATATACATCAGCTTCTAAGATTTGAAACAACTTTCCAAAAGTGAAAGTGTTCCTTCAGTGGTTTGTACTGCACACATTCTTACAAAGAAACAGGTTTCTGCATATGCAAGGATTTTTTTGAATTCTGACAGGATTCTGCTAAGCAGTTTTTTTGCAAAGATGCACAGCAGTTCTTTAACAAATTTTCTAATCTTATTTATGTTAAATATTAACGAGATAGTAATTTTGTATAATCAAGTAGTCAAAAGTCAAGTACATGCCAAGTTTGAACTTACAACCTTTACTTTACCTCCATACTTATAACCCAAGAGCTATGGCCTAATTAAGAATACACTGTTTTGCATATATAATACCAAGACACATTTTCCAAATTGCTACACACAGATTTTTCTAAGAAACTGAGTTACAAGAAAACATAGGTAAGTGGGAGGAGTTAAGGTTGTGTGTTCAGCTCTGGCTTTTGTATTTCTGGAACATATAAGTGTTCAGCACAGCCTCTGACTTGCACAGATATAGCTATTTACATTCTTAAGTCAAAAGGATTTTCTGATTAACAGGTACCCACTGGCAAAGAACAGTTAGCGCTTACCAATGTTATTCAAGAACTGCACACTTTCTGCAGGCTTGACACAAACTGGTCAAAGGCCAGCAAGTTTTTTGCTAGTGCTGGAAGCTAGGTACTCATTTTATGAGCTGTGCATCAATATATATGCAAGTGAGCATTAAAAAAAAAACCCACTTAAAAAACCAACCCACTATCACCATAACCAACTGTACCCCTTGTTATTTCCCCAGCATGTGTTTTTGGATTTTTTTTTTCTGATCTAAACTAATCTACAGATTTAGTTCATCTTAAGACACTTAAACCTATTTAGATAGGTTTAAGCTGCTTGATCAGCTTGAAGGCCCCATGGCCTGATTTTTAGAGGTGCCAGGCTCCTACAACTCCCCCTGAGGTTAGGTTGGAGCCTTTAAGTGTTTTACATTTTTGAATATAGTCTCATTGGATTACTTTATACTGCAAAAGCATTCCCAGATCTCCGGCAATTTAGAGGAACTGGAATGGGGATGTGGCAGGAGACAGGAAAAATGCAGGATAAGAGGCAGCAGTCAGGCAGGACGGATTAGGTTCAAAGTATGGTTAGAAATTTTAGAATGCAAAAAAAATTAAAAAAAAATAAAAAAATTCTATCTTCACTGACCTCAGGGAAAACCCCAAAGGATTTCTGCACCAACTTTGGGGGGAAAAAAATCTTCTTCCTTCAGAGACCAAGCATGGATAGTTTTAGTCCAAGAAACAAATGTTTCTAAAGTTCACTATACAACGTGTGAAAATAGGGGTTATAATGGAAGTCATTTTGTAATCCTACCTTTAACTAGTACTTCCAGACCCCCTCTTAAGAGTCCCTCACATATGGATTGGTAGTCAATCTTGGTATGTTACTAACCCTAGATGGAAGACTTGTTCTTTAATTGTCAACAGCTCTACAAGTTGCTATGACATTGCATTACATTGAATACTGTGCTGATGTTACCCATATCCTTGACGGTAAAAAAAAAAAACAAAACAAAAACTTCCAATTTTGCTCAGTGCAATGTTCTGAAGGCTATGTGATAAAGAGCTTCATGGTAAATGATAAAGAGTTTATTTGAAGTAATTTCAAATCAAGTCAGATTCTGAGTCTCCTGCGGGTGCTCACTGCACTAGAGAAGAAAAAAGGGCATCATTTGTGACACTGGCAGGGAGGCCACAGACAAAGCAGCAAGGGAAAGAGATCCAGGTTGGGCATCGGGACAGAGCAGCAGGAAAGAACATCTGGTGGAGGAGGAGGAAAGGCAGGAAGACTAGAACAGAAGATGACATCAGGGAAGTGGGGGTGAGAGGGAAAAAAAGAGAGCAGGGTGGGGAGGAGCATATAAGGCACCTGTCAGTTTGAACATGATTAGTTACCAACATTGATTGTAATTCACAATGCACGGCATTTCTATCAATGCTTCATAATTCTTTGCACATATGTACATTCATTAAAAAAAAAAAGATATAAACCCTCCTTTACCCCTCTCTAGCTCCTACCTGACACTTGTGAGGTCTCTCCGACGTGTGCACCTGTTTGATGTGCCCATTCAAGTGGTCTGGCCTTAAAAATATATACACACACACACGCTTTAAGACAAACATTAAAAAACCAGAAACTACTATTGCATCCAAACCAAGAAAGGTTCCCTCTGGTGTCTGGGATCCAGTTCAGCTGCCAATTTTGATTTTTTTTTTTTTTTTTTTTTTTTTACTGAGGCACAGATCAGCAAGACAGAGCTTTACTCTGATGATGAACCCCTCCCAGCCCCCTGCAAGGTAGGCATTTTCCTTGACTGAAAATGCTTAGTGGACAGAGGGATCAGATTTAAGCCAAAAGTTTCAAACCTGGTTGCTCAGTTAGGCTGGTGACAATCAGTCCACACTGATTTCTAAACATCTCGTCATTTAAAAGTCATTCCACTTTACTTTAGGTTCCAGGTGCAGATTTAAGAACTAATTAATCACCCTGGTATGAAAAACACTGGGGCAAAGAATTCCCACTCCTAATGTTCCTAACTCATAACTGTGTTGGAAGGCTTTATTAATGTTTGTAAAGGTCTTCGAAGGTCCTGGCTGAAAGGTGCTATGGAAGAGCAAATTATTCCTGAAAAAGTAAGCTTGTTTGGAAAGGAGGGAGCATTGAATAGCTGCAGATTTTCTTGGTGGGAGTTTCTCCTAGTGGGAAGAAAGCTTTTCATTGTATGAGGCCAAAGCTGCTTGGAAACAAATTCTCCACCTCTCCTCCCCCAACTTTCTAGGCTCAGCCAATCAGTGAAAGCTGGATGGAATTCACTCTCTGGAGACAGAAAAATAGTGCAGAGTTAGCTCCACGGTTAAGCTGTTAAACCTGATGCTAGGGCAGGTGGGCTGGGGCTGTTTAACTGGAAAGACTGGTTAGGGGCTTATATTCCTAGTACATACAGACAGACCTCAGAATTTATGACAGCAATGTAGATGCTACTTCCATCCAGTTTGTTTCACTACTTTGCTTTTGCAATGACAAAAGATCAAAAGTGGGGGCAAGAAGAGTTTCTCTATTTCCTAGTTTTTTCTAATGGAAAATAGTACAACAAAATGACAGGAGAACTTGAGATAAGTATTGCAGAGGAAAGTAATTTTAACTCAGATGTACCGATTAGATTTGGTGCCTGTGCTGCTGTTTTGTAAACAACTTTATTCTCCTAGAAAATCCTTGAATCCACTAGTTTATACAGATCTTTTGTAAAAGAAAACCAACAACAAACTTGAAAAATTGCAGGATGTTTGTTTTCATAGCAAGAAATCCCGGTCTTCATTATCAAAGCAGAGTCAGCAGGGGCAAATTCTTTAAGCTTGTATCTCTGAGGTACCTTCCTCTAAGTAGCTATTCACTGTTTACCAATTATCATCTCAGTGCCTTCCCTCTAGTAAGAGGGAATGAAAGAGTTTAGCTCCATTAGCCGGGGATACTATAGCTGCCTATCTGAGCGAGGTGGCCTCTCTCTCCCAAGTACCCCTTCCACAGACTGAGCATTGAACTTCTGAGGAGCCCAAGGCTCAAGCTGAGCCCAAACTCAAACTACAAAATATACACAAGCTATATTAAACCAGAATCAAATAACTCCACTTGTTATGTGACCTGCACTCTCACAGATGAAAGGCAATGACAAATATCAGCAACATTACACAGACACATCTTATAGGCACAATGCAGAGTGGAAACTCAGTTCCCCTCCAGAAGGATGTAAATGCCAAAACTGTGTATTAAAAGAACAGCTGATGCTGCAGGCTTTAAAAGCTCACCTCTTCATTCACATTTGGGCAATATAGACATAAATGAAGAGAAATGAGTGTAAGTTAAGAAAAGGAAGGTAAACTGGACATCGAGAAAAAATAAAAACATCTTGATATATAGTAATATCTTACACTTCATCAGCACCTTTCCTTTGAGGGCTTTGAATCACTTCACAAACAGTAATTAAGTCTCAAGACGACTAGGTGAGGGAAGTAATTATCTCACAACCCATTTCACAGAAGTTCATCTGAGGCAGACTCTAACTGACTTGCCCAAGGTCACAGGAGTCTGTGACGAAGCCGGGACTGTTGTCCAGGGCCCATTCGACTCCTAGCTCTATGCCTGCTCAATGCATGCAAGAGACTCGAGCAATCTTCTAAGTGCAGCGAGGAAAGCTGCATCACTTGGGGCATTTAAAAAACTAGCGTGGACAATGAACCACAGAGACGACTGGACCCTGGCTCCCATAACGCAGGCTAGACATGTAAGAACTGCCCTACTGGGTCCGACTAAAAGGTCCAGTCCTTTCTCTGAGTAGCCAATCATGCCCGCTTTAGAGGAAAACTAAAACAAACAGGGCCTGTAGACTGATCCATTCCCTGTTGTAACTTGTCAGTCACAAAGGGCTGAGTTCAAGGATGTTTAATTAAATACCAGCCAGCCAAACTTGATGTCTGCCTCCTTTTTGAACCCAGTTACACTACTGCTCTCCACAATGTCCTGTGGCAAGGAGTTCCACAAGCTACTTATGAGCTGAACAAAAACTGTACTTCTTTGGTCATCTTCAACCTGCCCCCCATGAATTTCCTTGGATGCCCTCCCAGTTTGACTATTACAGGACATGATTTCCTATCTGCTATATACCATTCACTATTTTAATAGGGGCTGCCTACGGCTTTTCTGTCTCTGATGTCTGACCCCCATCAGTGTCCCCTTACCTGGAAAAGCCCTTCCCACAGCTCTGGCAGATGTATGGCTTCCCCACGGAGCCATCATGGGACCGCACGTGGTAGGACATCCTGTCCTTGCGCTTGAACCGCAACCCGCACACCGGGCACGAGTAGGGCTTCTCGCCGGAGTGCGACAGCTTGTGCCGATTCAGATGGTACACGTCCCGAAAGATCTTGCCACAGATCTCGCAGGCCACCTGTTTCCTCGTCCTGCTCCTCTTTCGGGGGGCGTCAGGGTCATCCTGACCAGGCACCCCGTTCTCGCCCAGCCTGGGTGGCGGGATGTCTATGTAACCCAGCTGCAGGCTGGTCACCCCATGCTGAGCCTCATGCTGCCGAAGGCGGTTGGCATCGGTGAACACCTTCCCGCACAGGCCGCAGGGCAGGATGCCTGCCTCGCGCAGGCCTCCCGGAGTGCCAAACATCATGGAGTCCAAGAGGTTGGCCTTGCGGGGCCGCCCCCGGCCCCTCTTGGTGCCCAGAGGGGGGGCGCTGGTGCCCACGTTCTGGAAGGGCGAGGCCAGCAGCGGGGGCGAGAGGGGCCCCGCCACCATGGGCAGGCGGTCCACGCCCTGCAGCACAGGCAAGGAGGACTGTGCGGCGCTGAGCGCGGCGCGGGTGGCCTCGTCCTCGGGCATGCCGGCGATGCCGTTGCCGTTGGGCGCCAGGCCGGCGCCGTTGGTCATGTCGAGCGGAAAGCCCAGGTCGGCGGCGCCGGGGCGGAAGAGCATGATGTCGGGGCGCGTGGGGGGCACGAGGATCTGCACGTTGGACTGCTTGATGACCTCCTGGCAGATGTCGATGACGGAGCGCATGAGCAGGAACTTGGCCGCCGTCATGAGCTCCGGGAAGCTCTCCAGCCGCACCACGATGCGCGAGGTGTAGGCGAAGTCCAGGATGTCCCCGAACACCTTGGAGCTGATGGTGTGCATCTCCAGCTCCCGCCCGCCGCCGCCGCCTGCCCCCGGCCCGGCCCCGGCCCGGG